TCTAAGATTTAATTCTTCATATCAGTCTCACGCAAGTCTGAATTTGATTTTAAATGTGTTTACACAACAGCCTTTTAATGTTTTTTCTGACATTTCCTGTAACTTGTGGAGGTTGTATAAGAAACTGAAAGTGGCCCGTCTTTTGAATATACTTTAAAGCACCTGTTTATGCATTCTCTCGTATCTTTAATTATAAGAAAAATTAATTTTGAAATTGTTTTGCTTGTTAATAATTGGTTTATTATTGGTTTATCCAAAGCTTCATATGAATAGTGTTCTTTTCCATTGAGTGCAATGATCTAATTTCTTTTTCTAGGGCTGTGAATATTTTCTTTGCAATTTTGCAGCAGTTCTAAAAACTGAAGATTCTAAACACCTTAAAGAAGTCTAATAATTCCTTATTATGCTCTATTGCAATGTCTATATATATGCTTTTATTTTTGTAATAATTTACTGCCAAAATTTACTTCCTAGAGGCCAGCAATTCCTGTCCAGGAGCTCAGGCCCAAGAGTTATTTGTACAGACTCTGCAAGGATGGGCTCCAGAGACACAAGTGGGCCTCCCACTTGGGGTCCTAGTGCTACCTTCCTGTAGAGCCCCTCCTTTCTCCTGTGGTTACTGCTGCTGCTGCCACCACTGTCACTGCCACCAATCTGGGCCCAGATCTGGCCCAGCCACATTAGGATCCAGTGGAGCCCTTGATGGTCCCAGACATGTGTGTGCATGCGGGGCCACCAGGTCCATTCCTCTGTGTTCCTGCTGCCTGCCCTGCCCCATGCTGTCACCAGGCATCTTATATCATGCATGATCCATTGATCCACTGGATTTCACTTACAAAACACTTACTCATCTACTTCAAAATTAAGTTAACAATTTCAAAATGACAGAACAAGAGCATTAAACCAAGGCAGGTTCTGAGCACAGGACCTGCACAACTACACAGGTGGCATACCCAGGAAGCCTGCCCTACACTGGGTGGTGGTAGGCAGTGCATGGCATGGGCCTTAGTAAAGAATCCGTGGGCCTCTCTGAGGCAGCTGGAGGGCATAGGGAACAGGCAAACATGACGTTGATTTTAGAATCTACACAGAGGCATCGCCTGCACAGGTCTAGGGGGGCAGGCTGCTTTGCATCCTAGTGGGGACAGGAGTCCCTCGGAGAAAGCAGGTCCATGGGGACTGCTGGTCCCTACAGTTATTTAGGGAGTGGCCCTCCAATGTCAAGGCCCCCGTCCTATCACCTCTAAGTCCCTGCGCTTTTTCTATTTGCTGCCCTCACACCAGTTCCTGTTCCTGACTTGACTCCAGCTTTTTCTCTCCTCTTCCTTCTCTGTCCCACCCACTTTGCAAATTTGTCTGGGGATAGGCCCAGCTCTTCTTTGGTGGTAAGGAATACTTCCAGAGAAAGATTAATTTCAGGGGAGTTAGACAGATGAAAATCTTCTCCCAAAGGCCAAGGATCAATGGGAAAAAAAAATATGACAAAGGGAAACTGGCCTCAAAAGGCAAGTACTTTTTGAAGACTTCAGTGAAATCCAAGCCTCCAGCCTCTCAACAGCTTGCAGGGAATGTCACCAAAACTTCTGGAGTAACTGCCCTAGAACAAGCCAGGGACTTGAGCTGAGATGAATGCTGACAGCAGAGAGAATCTGCTTGCTAATGGAACACTCCGGCCCCAGACACGCACTGGCAGGGATGACTCTGGGGCCACAGATTCTAATAAACTACATGTGTGTGCAAGGCCTCATTCACATTCACAGCAGCCCTGTGAGACAGGAATCATTAGCCTGCTTTAACAATGGGAAATGGGGACTCAGAAAAATCAAGTAACTACTAGCTCAAAGTCACCCAGCCAGTAAGTGTCACAGCCAGGATTCAAACCCCAGTCTGCCTGACTCCAAATCCATTGTTCCTTTCGACACTGTGGGATAATGTTTCTTTGCCCCAAAGCTGTGCTTAAGCAGATCAATGTAGTCAGTAAATGTATCTTTCATCGCATCTTTTCAGGGCTCCTGGCTCCTTCCCCTTTTTGTTCTCTTCTTTTCTACCCTGACTCAGTCACTTAGTGCTTTCTATTGGCCATTGTGAAATTTCAGGAATCATAACATGCCCGTGGAGAGAGATGTCCTCTAGCTGGCATACCTCTCTGGTTCCTCAAATCACCTACTCCAAAAAGTGGTAAGATCAACGCTGAGCTGTTGGGCTTTGTGTGCAAAATCATGGTTTATGGATACGGTGCCTACATTATTTCTAGAGTTTCTCAAAGCCTCACTCCTTTGCAAATTTCAGGCGTTAAGTTGTTCCCGTGTTCAAACTAGGGAGGCTGAGTTTACGTCGAGACGGAAGAGGGGGAATATCCATTGTGAACTGTGTGGGTGAGGTGTCAGGGAAATGTTCATAGGAACACTTGTTCTGTGCCCTTCCTTTCCAGTTGAAATGACTCACTGCAATTCTAGACTCTTGGGCACTGAGCAGGCTGCCCCGGGGACCCTGACAGCTGACCCTCCCTCAGCCTCTGCATCAGCCAGCGTGGTGTCTGCAGGTCTTTGTTCGCCAGCTTTGAGAGGCACCCAAATCCCAGTCCACGCCTGCTGCCTGCCCAGCTCTCTGAGTGCTGGCGATCCGCAGGCAACATCTGCTCCAGAGGCTTAATCCAGCATTTGGAAGGTTTCCCTTCCAATATAACTGGCCTGGCACCACTCCCAGCCCCACTCAGCAAAGAGCTGCTGTGTTTATGTGGCTTTTCCAGCAATGGCTTTGTATGGTCTAGGGAGCGGCTTTGATCTCCATGGAGCTGGGATGGGCTGGGGATGGAGGAACAACGCAAAGATGAGAAGAAAGGAAGGCGTGCACACACTTGTTCAGGCTCCGTGCCTTCCACCGGGCACCTGAAGGCTCTGTGCAACCCTGAGGAGTTGACAGATGTGACACATTTAAAATTCAACTTTGATACGAACCCTCAGGCAGAAACAGTTATCAGTTCAAGCAGTATACTGTGGAATTTGGAGTTAAGAGGAGTGTCTCTAAATGCACCTTTTCATCTAGTGACGGGGCATTCAAATATTTTGTGATCATATTAACAAAGATACTTTTTCTACAGTCCTGTTCTCTTGGTCGCCCACCTTCACAGATTATTCGAAAGTATTACTCTACAACATGTCCTCTATAAGAGGACAAGGCTTTTGTGACAAGTGATGGCCATAGTTGTTCAAAAACAACTAGTGTTTTGACAGAGGTCACAGCAATTTTGCAGAGAAAACTACATAATTAACAAACCAATGACTTTCAACAAACAATATCATGAACTCAGAGGCCCTGGATCCCTATGGTCTCTCTGTTCTTAGAGACCCGCAGCCAGTCCTCCAGACCCCTCTCCCCAGTTCCAGCCCCCAAGAACCCTCCTGCCCTCTCCCAGTGAGTCCCCCTGTAGCCTTTCTAGAAGCACCGAGTGTTTGCTTTAGGAAACCATCCTAGGATCTCTCGGGCTTCCCCCACCATGCACTGTCTCATAGCCTGCCTTGGGCTCAGCCCTCTAACTCAAGCCCTCCAGATTTCCATTCCACCCCAACGCCCCTCAGAGCCAAGGCTCTCTGCAACCCACCACCCCACCACATCCCAACCCTTATAGGACTGGCTCTCTCAGGACCTGTTGGGTTCAGGGACAGGATTAGGTGAAAGCCCATCAGCACTGACTGATGGTTTTCTGCATAGCCTCCAGGGGGCCAAGGCCCCTCCTGGGCTCTTACACCCACACCCTAGAGCCTTCATCCCTCTTTCCCTGAGACTGGCATCATTGGTTGGAAAGCTGAGCACCAATAACACTCCTGAGTGCTTCTTTCCTATGGCAAGGACTCAAGCTCTAATGGAAGCTGGGGGTTGCCAGCTCACTCCTTCCTGTTGGGCATGTCCTTAACATCATCAGAACACCTCCATGGGTACCACATCTCTTTGCGTGTGCTCTTATGGGCTTTTATGAGATTTGTAAGTCTTCGGGCAATTTATTAGGCCATTGATTCAGTTAGTATTACCTTTAACAGAGATGTAACTACTGTTACTTAGAGATGTAAACATACTCTAGATAGCTGCCATAGCTCCAGCCATCACATCCACATTCAGGCAGTAAGAAGAAGAAAATGGGGTGCTTTCCTGGAAGCCCCACCAAACACTTCCCATAACATCTTACTGGCCACTCTGATTTACAAGGAAGGCTAGGAAGTGGACTATTTTAGCTGGGCACATTTCTAGTTCCGGTTCTGTAGTAAGCAAGGTGATAAGAATGGACGTTGGGTAAGCGGTTAGCAATCTTGTCCTACTACTTTTTATACCTTAAATTTTTTGTCATTTGGGGTTACATGTGTTTTGGAAGTCAGAATTCCTTGGATATTATAAAGGTGCTACGGAGCTGGTACCGCATATTATATAACACTCCCCGTTGGGGTGTTGGGACAGCACTATGTAGCCCACACATTCAATGTTCTGTAGTGAAATGTTTGAACAGTCGCATTAAGCATGATCAATAAAACTGTAAATGACTTCACATTAGTTCAGGTCAGGTTTTGTCACCTAACCAGTTTTTATGCCAAACTTAGGGGAAAAAAAACTCAGTTTTTAGAACTTCTGGGATTTCACAGTTATGAATAAGGGATTGTGACCCCATATCCTTATTTTACTTAGAAGAAAGCTAGGCTCTTTTTCCTCAGAGAAGTTAAAGTAACTCACTCAAAGTTATATGGTAGAGTCAAAATTGCAATATGGGTTTTCTGACTCCAAAGCGAGTACAAAGGAAAAGAGGCCTGAGTCCAACTTTCTATGACAATTCCCAGAGTCACGTTGAAACAATACAGGAGTGCCTGCTTAGATAAGAGGTCTGCTTCAGGGAGATATTTAAAGCAAAGTTTTACAAATACATTTTAAATGCACACAGATAAGCTTAATTTGTAAAGAAACTATATGTTATATATTCTGAATGATCCAAATGACTAGACTCATTTCTTTTATAGTCCAAAGAGCCTTCTCTTTTACCATTATTTATATACCTTTTACATTACATGTACATTGTATAAAATTCAAAACGTACCAAGTGAGAAGTAAAACCAGTCTCCCACCAATTCTTTCCAGAGACAATTGCAATGATGTTTTTGTGTATCTTTCCAGAGGTAGCACCTAAGTTAGAAATAACCAAATGTTATCAGTGGTTGTCTCTACTAGATAATGGGATTAAAAGTGATTGCTTTTCCTTCTTACTATACCTTTTTTCTACTTTAGGAAATGTCTGCACATATTCATTTTATCAGCAGAAAAAAATAAAAAGAAATCTGATTTCTTAAAACTCCTTCCCGCTGACCCTAGATTTTTCTGGAGACAGCTTTCATGCTTCCCTAAATCTCCTCTACCTGGAAAATGATTTTTCTGACCCACCCTGCTCACCACCTTGGGGTGGCAATCCTCTAGGGCAGGGGTGTCAAACTCAATTAAAACGCGGGCCATTTGGTGCAACAGGCAAGATTCACGCGGGCCACATCATATTTACAAATTTTGTTAAATTTATATTCTGAAGCGAGGATTCAGGAATATGGATAGCATAATTAAAACACTATATAATTGCTTTTATTTAAACATTTCTTTTATTTAATGTATTTATAAAACGAAAATTATTCTTTTTTACCCGAGTGCTCTTTTTAACCTTTTCACTATTGGGATCTGTTTACATTATGTGACACTGAGAGTGGCAGACATATCGCTTCCAAACGTCGCCGGAACTGAGTCAGCGCATTTATACATGCCCACAGGCCCCCAGGAAAGGCACTGGGCCACGTGTATACTCGTCTTCAGTAGTGAAAGGGTTAACGAGGGAATTGTGTGTACGGTATTGCCTCAATCTCCCCTAAGCGCTATTTTCTTCATAACAATTTTTTCTATTTTCATTTTATTTCAGAGCATCGCGGGCCACAAAAAATTACCTCGAGGGCCGCATGCACCCCGCGGGCCACCAGTTTGACACCCCTGCTCTAGGGGGACAATCTGTGTGTTGATGTCTTAAAGTGCAGTGTCCAGAACATGCATGGATCTCCAGGTGGGTCTGACCTGGTCAGGAAGGAGAAAGTCATCCTCTACTCCACTCCAGGCCTTACTTTTATCAGAGCAACTCAAGGTTATGTGAACTCTGCCAGATCAACTGAAACTCCAGCTTCTCTCACCCAGCCCCGTTTAGGCAAGTCCATAATGTCCTGTGTTTGGGCAGTTTCTGTTCTGAGACGAAGTACACGACTGTACATTTATTCCATGGAAGTCCATGGGACTCAGTCTAGAATCACAGCTCACTTGGTACCCATTCAAGTCCAGTACGCTGTTTCTCAAAAGTGCCAAACCCACTTCTGCTGAAGGGCCTTCCCCTAATCCTCCCCGCCATGGGTCCTTTTTATACAGATGTCACTTACTCACAAACACCTTCCCTGACCCTTCAGTCTAAAGTGGTCCTATCCTATCCTCCCACTTTATTTTTTATAGCACTCCTGTGAAATTATCTTTTTTATCTGTTTTCTTCTTTGTTTCCATTCTCTTCACTAGGATGCAAACTCCACGAGACCAGGATCTTGTGTGCCGTACCTCTAAAACTCCCTGGCACATGGAAGGAGCTCAATGAATATCTGTTGAATGAATGGATGGAGTTTGTCAGTGCTAGTGAAGAGCTTTAGATGGCTTTCCAACCCCATCTCAACACTTGCTAGTTGTATGACCTTGGGCATTTTAACTCATCTAAATTGGTTTCCTCATCTGTCAACTGGGGACTGCAATAACTCCCACTTCTTAGGGTCACCATGGGCACTAGACAAAAAATAAGAAGTGGCTAAGTGAAAAGTGACTGGGATATAAATGCTAGCTAAATTTTTATTATCTCTCTGCCCACATTAATGTGTCATCTTTGATCACGCTGTCTACATCCAAGTTGTGGGTAAAACTCTTGAACAGCACAGCATTTGGGACGGCACTGCCACTAGAGATGACAGACACCATATGACTGTAGTCTGACTAGGAACATGCTTCCCCATCTCAGCCACAGAGCATATCCAGGATCTTGCCTTTGATTGCCAGTGTTGCCCTAATCTGCCAGCCTCGTCAAGAAAAGGAAATTAAAGCAGTCTGGCTCCGTTCTTTGTGAGCCTTCTTTTCCTTTTGAGACTCACAGACCATCTGAGTTCACCCAGGACTGATGTCAAGTTCACTTTTTGCCCTGGGCTGGGCTGGGCTGGGTCCTGTTGCCCAGCAACAGAGCACCTGTGTGCCCTTCCTGGTTCCCTGGGCCCTGGCCTCTGGCTGTGCCAAAGCAGGAAGGACAGGCTTTGGGTGTTGCTGGGTTGCTCTGGTGGAGAGAAGTTGATGGGTCCAGTGATGTAGGGAGAGAAGAAAGATTGCCCTGTGGGGCAGGAGGTTGTGCTCAGGATGGAGTCAACAGCCATTTGATTCCCCCAAACATGGCCAAGAAGGTGGCTGAGAGTCTCAGTATTTGGAATCTGTTCTTTAAGGACCGTTACTCTGTACACATCTTTGAGGAGAAGGCAAGTGCTCTTTGAAAGGGGCAGATTTCTCAGCTGTCATCTTAAGGCGATTTCCTTGGTGAGAAGGAGACTCTAGTTCCTGGAGTCAGTTGAGAAGGTGGCCAGAGAGGGTGAGCTAGGACGTTTGAAATGTGAGGTACAGGTAGAGAGCTTTGTGACAGGGAGCTCTGGATGACGTACCCACATGGGGCACACCATGAGTTGTTGTGGAAAGAAGGTAAGCCGGGGTGGGAAGATGGAAGGGTTCTCTTTTCCCCGTCCACTTGGTCTGGCTAACTTCCGTTTCTCCTTTATATCTTGGCTTCAATGTCATTTCCTCCGGGAAGCCCTCCCATCCCCTAGACTAGGTTAGATCCCCCTCATGTTCCCTCTCATAGCCCACAGTTTTTATTCATAGCCCTATCCATGTTGCAGTGTGCACCTGTCTCTCTCTCTATCCCATCCACAAACACCACAGACTCTGTGAGGGCAGTGGCCACATCTCTGTTTACAACCCAGCCCCAGCACCGGGCCCGTGCCTGAACACAGAGGGCGCTCAAGGATATGGAGTACCAAATGAGTGGAAGAACGGACAAACAGAGCTGGGAGCACACTGTGCAGGGGCTCGCTGCCCTGTTCATTTTACCTTGGTCAGTCTGGCCTTCCTTGTCAAAAGCAAAGGGCATGGGTGTGCTGGGAAGCTGATATTCCATTTCCTGCGCCCGGCAGGGGAAGCCGGTGTTTCCCAAAGATCCATGTTGTCATTGTTCCAGCTGCATAATGAATCACAGCCATTCTTCCCCAAAGATGAAGTCATTTTCCTAGAAGCAACATAAAACCCACAAAAAAAGGAAACTAGCATCTCTTGTTGCACACCTACTATGTTCCAAGCAACAGCTCTGCAAAGCAAACAATTTCTATTTTTACAGGTAATGCAACTGAGGCTCAGAGACATTAAATAAATTGTCATGTTCATAAAGAGCAAAACCAAAAAAACATGATAGTGCTGAAATTTGGACACGTGCGCGCGTGTGTGTGTGGCCCCAAAGCCCATAACAAACTTCGATGAAGGAGGGTGTCATGGCAGGCCCCATTTAGCTTTTAGTGCTGCTGGGAGTGTCCACGGCTGGCTGCTCATCAAAAACTAGAGGCATAGATGGGCAGAGCTTCCCAAAAAAATGAGGAAAAAAGGAGGAAGAGTATGAACAGAGAAAGGGGACCAAATGTACTTCCACTTAGTCCTCAAACCTTTATTGGGTATCTGTGTCAGGCTGAGGACGGGGCTGAAGACAAATTGTCATAAAATATAGGTCCACTCCTCACAGAGGTCCCTATCTAGTGGGTGAACTGCATAAGAAAATCAGAAATTACAGTTCAGTAAGATGGGCGTTATTCGATCATTTATTCTATTTTTTTTAATGTCTGAAGTTCTCTATAATAAAATATTTTAAAACACATTGTAGCTCCATCCAAATGCAATGCTCAGGGTGTGGTGAAAGCACGGTCGAGAGGCACCCAACCCCGACTGAAGGGCCAATCAGGGAAGGCTTCACTAAGGAGGTGACATCTGAGTTGAGTTTTGCTAAATGAGAAGGAGTTAGTGAGGCAAAGTAGTATGGTAAAAGTATTGCCAGCAAATAGCACACGCAGAGAGAGACACAGAAAGAAGCATGAAACAGCAATGGTCTGCTTAGAGAATTGTAGGTACAAGTCAATTCCTACAGCCAAAATGAGGGAGACGTTTTCTTCAAGTTCCCTTGTGAAACTGTCCTGCAAGGTGCATTGGGCACTCTTCTGGGTTTTAGGGATTTGGTTTAGTGTTTTCAGACTTGGTTTCTGACTTTAGAAGATTAGTACCCCAAGCAGATGCGTGGAGGAGGGGCGCCCCCTGGAGGTGAGAATGTGGAGTGAGCACTGAGTTCCCTTCTCAATGTTTACTTTAGGTAAACAAAATAATCCTGTCTTCTACCCAACTCTATTAAAGAGCTGAGCATCAGGAAAATCCTCTAAAGGCAAAATAAGTAGAGGGCAATGTTTCCAAATAGAGCAGAGGAACTGAAATCCAGGTTAGAGACATGATCTATAAGAAATCAACCAAAAGAAAGCTTGGATTTGCTAATCATTTCATTCCAATTGAATAATGATAGTAATGACTTGCCATTTTTGAGTGCTAACTATGCACCAGGTACATGGGTACTGAACATATTTTATCTCATTTGGTTCTCAGCAACAACCTTAAAGGGGAGATATTACTACTATACCCATTTTATAGTGAACAAATAGCAATTCAGAGAGGTCGAGTAACTCTCCCAGGATCACACAGCCAGGACATGGGCAAGGTGGGATTTGAACCCAGGTTTGTGGACTCAGAAGCTCATGCTTTCAAATGTTGAGTTAGACACCTGATGGATATGGCCATTAAACAGGTCCAAAGAGGAACTTATCATCTTTGCTCAAAGCTTGTTCCTCTTCCTCCTCCATTCCCCATCTCAGCAAATGGCCCTACCCACGCCAATCACATCCAGTTGCCCAAGCCAGAAACCTAAGTTTTGGTCCCACACCTAGTCCCTCACCAATTTTGTTGATTCTCTATCATAAATATCTCTAATATTTTTCTATTCTCTCTATCCTCACTGCTGCAGCCTTAGTTCAGGACATGACTATCTCTTGCCTGATTAGATGCTCTCCCAGCACTCCTTCTCCTTCCTAGCACTTATGATTGGTTTATAATCATCTCCCCTGTTATAGAGTCTATGGTGATAGGACTCCACCAGTATAATCCCAGTGCATGCCACAATAGGCAATCAATATTTGAATGACTGGAGACAGCCAGGAATAATTATTTACATTTCATCAATGTATAGGCTGAATTGTCCCTCAAAAGTCATACATTGTAATCCTAACCCCCAGTATCTCAGAATGTGGCTGGAGATAAGACCTTTACAGAGGTAATTAAGTTAATGTTGAGTCATTAAGGTGGACCCTAATCCAATATGACTAGTGTCCTTATGAGAAGATTAGGACACAGAAAACACAGAGGGATGACCACATTAGGACACAGCAAGAAGGTAGCCTTCTGCAAGCCAAGGAGAGAGATCACAGAAGAAACCAAATCTGCTGACACCCTGATCTTGGACTTCTAGTCTCCAGAGCTGTGAGACAATAAATTTCTGTTATTTAAACCACTCAGTCTGTAGTATTTTGTTTTGGCAGCCCCAGCAAGCTAATATAATCAAGAAAGGAAATCAGACTCAGAGAGGTTGAAGGACTTGCCCAACACTGGATAGTAATTACTAATTAGTAATAATTAGTTAGTAATGCACTAATTAGTAATATATCAATCACATTCTGCCTTGTGATTGACTTAACCCTGTTACTATTTAACTTCTTGAATGTTTGGGTATTGTTACTTCAACTGGCATGCAGGGTGAGAATCCTGTCTTACCCTTTTCAGCACTCCCAGACTTCCTAGCTAAGCTTGGTGCTCTTTAACAAAAAATGTACATTGCATTTTTTATTGTTCTTGTGTGATTGAGTGACACATTTGGAAGGGTAAAAGAAGCATGATGGCAGATTCCTGATCTCCAAGAGAAACATGCAAAAAGGGGGCCACCATCTCAGTAATGGGATACGACTCATCTCTCAATCTCCAAATATAAACATCAGGATGACTGCTGTTAAGACTTTATGGCGGGCAGTGGTGCACAATGTTTGACATTAGAATTGCCCATTAAAACAAAGGAGTGTGTGTGTGTGTGTGTGTGTGTGTGTGTGTGTGTGTGTGTGTGTACGCAGATATCAGGGGAAGGGGCCTGTAGGGAACAAGAGCGACCACTTCAGAGTAGCCCCTCCGAAAACAAGGAGCCTAAAGCACTGAACAGGCAGGTGGCTTCACGTCAGAGGCAGATGACCTAGTAAGAGGACCAGCGAGACTGGAAAGAAGTCTGCTCCTGAGCGACAGCCCACTCTTTCCAGCAGACCCATAAATGTCTTGTAGACAAATAGCCATGGAAGAGTAGCCCGTGCATGGTCATACTCAGGAATGAGGACACTTCTCCGGTATCACACACAATGGAATGAGGTCCTTCCAGAAGTGGGAAAAAATGTCCATTAGATTAGTTGTAAGATTCCCTCTAGATTTCCCTGCTGACGTACCTCCATGGTTTAGTGCAGGGTGGTCTCTCCTGTCTCAGGACAGTTCTCAAACACGAGTGTCACCTGCTTAAGACACCTAACTGGAGATTCTTCCAAGTGGCTTAATGGTTCCAAATATTTTGACAAGGCCAGTTTCATGGTACATATGGTGAGCAAAGTAGCACTAATTGGACCCCACTCCCTCTTGTTGATGCATTCAGCAGGAGGGCCTATTATATACAGGCTCTAAGCAGTTGTGAACATAAACAAACAGGACCTGTCTTCCCACAGCTTACAAGTCCCTGCCACCTTCACACCAAGCTGGTGGTCGCTGGGTGATGATTTTTCTAGTAATTTTTCCCCCCTGCATTTTCTAATTTCCTACTATGATGAACATACAGTATATTACTTCAACAAAGTATGAAATAAAACCCTTTATTTTTAACAAATATTACCTTTTACTTGATGGTTTGTGTCCTGTATTCCTTCATAAGGCTTTAGTCTCAAGAATTGGGAATGGTTACACTTTACACTGTGTATTACTCTGGGTCTAATCAGGAGACAAAAAACACACAGTAGTTTAAGTGGAGGAAGTTTAATACAAAGAGGTATTAAGCTATGAATGGAGAATAAATATAAAGACAAAAGCAGAACTCTCAAGGGTTCCCTAAGGCTGAGGGAGATTAATCAAGGAAGGACAACTTGGAAAGGGAGCCCCCTCCACAAGGTTGGGGGTTCAGACCTCATTGGAGCAGGTATGATTGTAGCCCATTGGGCAGCAGAGAAGCCTGTTTGAGGCAGAGCTGCTCTACAGTTGCCAGGTAAGCAGGAAACAATATTCAAGGGTGGACTGAGGCTGGTGAGAGGAAGTCAGGGCACCACTGCCTGGGACAAGGCTTAGAGGACGTGGTGTCTGCCTCAGGAAGGCTCAGGAAGGTGCTCACCAGTCTGGGCCTAGGCAGCGAGGTCACCAAGAGACTGCTCTAGGCACGCAGCTAGTGCAGGGTGCCACTGGATGTTCCCACACACCTGCACCACTCATCATGCAGCAGGAGCAAGAAAAAGCAGAAAGCACGGTCACAGGAACCAGGAAGAGAAGCACCTTCCTCCTACAAAGTCTCTCCAGCTCCCTCTACTGGCCAACCTTAGCATCGTGCTCACTGTCAAGTAGAAATGCATCTAGTCCATTATCTCAGAGCAGGTAGTGAAGGCAATAAATTGCTAACTGGCACAAGTTGTTAGCAGTCATTAGAACAGGTATTGATAATATTTTTCTATAAAGAGCCGGATAGTAAATATTTTAAACTTTGGGAGTCATACAGTATCTGTCAAAACTATTCAATTCTGCCATTGTTACACAAAAACCAGTATAGACAATATGTACGCAAGTAAGCATGGCTATGTTCCAATAAAACTTGATTTACAAAACAGTGGATTTGGCCCACAGATCATAGTTTACTGACTCCTGATTTAGAACTTTAGAGTGAATAATCACTATTCTGTGATAGGATTATATTGAGAAGGGAAATGAACACAACAGCCCAGAACTGAGGTGGGTTGTGGGAGCTGATTAAAAGGAATTTAAGTGGAGGTAATAATGTCTACATTGTACAGGTTTTTTGTCCAAAATTAAGTGAGTGCTATGGACCGAATGCTCCCTCTCCCCTCCCCCCATTTATATGTTGAAACCCTAACTCCAAACGTGATGGTATTTGGAATTTGGTACCATTCCAAATTCCGAATGGTATTTGGAGGTGAGGACTTTGGGAGGTGATCTGGTCATAAGGATGAAACCCTCGTGATGGATTAGTGCCCTCATAAGACTGGTGAGAATTTGGCTCCAAGATGGCAGATTAGTTAAACCCTATGCCTACTGCATTCCAGGATCCCACCAAAATTACAAATAAATTATAGAACAATCAACCTTAAGAATCATCTGAAGACTAACTGAACACAACCCTTATAATTAAGGATATAAAGAAGAGGCCACATCAAGACTAGATGGAGGGACGGAGATGTGAAATGGGTTGACCCCAAACCCACAGATAGCGGTTGGACACTGGGAGGGACACCTCGGCGGCAGTGGTCCCCCTAGCAGAGGGAGGGGTCCCAGCCCCACACCAGGCTCATGGGTCCTGTGCTAGGAAGGGGAGTTCCCACAGCATCTGACAGTGAAAATCAGCAAGGACTCTGTCTGCCCCTCCTGGTGAGATAGAAGGCAGCTGGAAACGCAGATGCCCTCTTAAAGGGCTCACACACAAACTCACTCACTTGCAAACACTCACTTGGTCTCTGTTGGAGGGGTGGCAATTTGAGAGGCGCCAGAGACATATGAGGAAAGACTGAGTTGTGTGGCTTCGAAGCGAGGGCTGGAGGGAAAGCAGCCATTCTCCCTCTGTGGAGCCTGCCTCATGTGGTGCCTACAGGAGGGCACCATCTTTTCTATGTTGAACCCTCCCCCAAGGGGCCAAATCTGAGAACGCATTGGTATGGTAAAATCCATGGGTGCACACCATGTTGGTGGTGCCCAGGGTCCCTGCCCCATATAGCTACTACTGCATCACCCAGGGCACTCTCTGCTACTGAGTGACTGGTCTTGCCCCACAAGATGAAGAAGGCTTTTATAGCAGTAGAGGGCCTGTGGCAGCCGGTGAACTTTTGGTGGTGGGCAGTGTGCCACAACTTCTGCCGCAGTCTCTCCTGGGCAGTTCTTGGGGACCTGCGGGCCTAAGGCAAGTGGTAGCTGGCTGCGGTGTTTTTGTGAATTGGTCACGGGCCTGGCACCCATGCCAGGAAGAATAAAAACTGCATTAACTCTGTAAAAATAACCACCCACATCCTGTGACTCCCTGAAACTTCACCCTACCCACCTAGAGCTGCATTGCCAGGGCACTCTTAGCACCTAGGTGGCTGGCCCCATCCCAAAAGCTGTGGAAGAGTTTTACAGCAGCAGACAGCCCATGGCTGTCCGGGGAATTTTTATGACTTTTTTTTTTTTTAGCTGAGCCATCCTGCCACCTGTTGGCAGCTCAGCGGCAGCTCAGCTTGGGCCGGACTCGAACCGCTGTTGCTCAAGAGCTCAAACCCTTGAGTGAGCTCTTAACCAACTGAGCCACTCGGCCGGCCCTCCGGGGAACTTTTAATGATGAGCAGTAAACCAAAACTTGCACCTCAGTCACTCTTGGGCAGCTCTTGGGGACCTGAGAGCCCGAGGTGAGCAGTGGCTGGCTGCGGTGTTCTCAGGGTGTTTTGCAAAGTGGTCAAGGGCCAGGCACTGGTGCAAGAAGTGAATCTGCATTAACCTTGTAAAAACCACTGGCCATGCATCATGACTCCCTGGAACCCTACCCTGCTCAGCTAGTGCTACATCTCCAAAGGCACTCTCAACACCAGGTCAATCAGCCTGGCCCATGCACTTAAGAAGGTTCTTTCAACAGCTGAGCCTTATGAGCAGCCAGCAGATGGCAATAGGCCTAGGGGCCCTCGGCCTTTTGCTAAGCTACCCCAGGCCCAGTACTGGTGTCAGCCAGCCTCAGTTCACAGCGAGGCTACCCCCACATGCCTCCAGGTCTGGCACAGGCAGCAGCCAACCACATATAGCTTTGTAGCTCCTACCAGGTAGCCATGGGCCAGTAACAAGCAAGTCTGAAATTGGCCTGCATGGGAGCCCCTCCCAAGAGACACCAGAAGAAACACACCCAGAGGCCAGCTTTAGATCACACCAGAGCACTACCTGGTTAACCCCACAAGTGTCACACACAAAGGGTGGTCTCAACAGGCACAAGAGCCTATGGGGGCAAATGCCCCTCTGAGGGATCAGTCCCCCACACAGCAGCTTATACACTGTGGGCATAGCCAATCCTCACAGTCAGCCTGGAAGTCAGTCCCACTCACTGATGTGCCAAAAGCAATCAAGGCTCAACTACAAGAGGAGAACACACATGACACTCAAGGGACACTCCTGGAACACATGCACAGGAGATAAGGGAGACTGTGCCTTTGGACCACACAGGATACATACTACATAAGGCCACTCAGCAAAGACTGAGAGACATAGTATATCTACCTGATACATACAAGCAAACACAGAGGGGCAGCCAGAATGAGGAAACAAACATGTCCCAAATAAAACAACAGGAGAAACCTCCAGAAATAGAACTAAATGAAATTGAGGCAACCAACCTAACAGAGACAGAATTGAAAACACTGGTTTTAAGAATGCTTAAGGAACTTGGTGAGAGTTTCAACAAAAAGATAGCAAGCCTAAAGAGGGACATAGAAACCATAAAAAAGGAACCAGTCAGAAATAAAGAATACAATAACTGAAATGAAGAATACACTAGAAGGAATCAACAGTAAATTAGATGAAGCAGAGGATCAAATCAGTGAATTAGAAGACAGAAAACATCCAATTAGAACAACAAAAAGAAAAATAAATAAATAAATAAATAAATAAAAATAAACAAAGATAGTTCATGGGACCTGTGGGACAACATCAAGCAAACAAAAGTCTGGACCAGATGACTTCACAGAAGATTTTTATCAAACATTCAAAAAAGAATTAACATCTATTGTCCTCAAACTACTCCAAAAAATCCAAAAGGAGGGAAGGCTCCCACACTCATTTTAGGAGGCCACCATTACTTTGATTCCAAAACCAAAGACATTACAAAAAAAAAAAAAAGAGAACTATAGGACAATATCCCTAATGAACATAGATGCAAAAATCCTCAACAAAATTAGCAAACTGAATTTAGCAAGACATTAAAAAATCAAGTGGAATTCATTCCTAGTATGCAAGGTTGATTCAATATCTGCAAATCAATTAACGTGATACACCACATAAAATGAAAAATAAAAATCATATGGTCATATCAATAGATGCAGAAAAAGCATTTGACACAATCCAGCATCCATTTATGATAAAAACTCTCAGCAAAGTGGGAACAGAGGGAAAACATCTCAACATAATAAAGGCTATATATGACAAACCCACAACTAATATCATACTCAATGGGGGGAAACTAAAAGCAATCTTCTTAAGATGAGGAACAAGACAAGGATGGCCACTTTCACCACTTTTATTCAACATAGTATTGGAAATCCTAGCCACAGCAGTAAGACAAGAAAAAGAAATAAAAGGCATCCAAATGGGAAAGGAAGAAGTAAAACTGTCATTATTTGCAGATGACATGATACTATATAGCGAGCACCCCAAAGATTCCACCAAAAACTATTAAAACTGATAAGTAGATTAGTAAAGTAGCAGGATACAAAATTAATATTCAGAAATTGGCTGCATTTTTATACACCAATAACTATCAGAAAGAGAAACTAAAAAAACAATCCTATTTACAACTGTATCAAAAACAAACAAATAAAAAACTTAGGAATAAATTTAACCAAGGAAGTAAATGATCTATACTCAGAAAATTATAAGACATTGAAGAGAGAACTTAAAGTAGATACAAATAAATGGAAACATATACTATGCTCATGGACAGGAAAAATTAATATAGTTAAAATGTCCATATTACCCAAAGCAATATACAGATTCAATGCAATTCCTATCAAAATACCAATGTCATTTTTCACAGAACTAGAACAAATAATCCTAAAATTTATATAGAACCATAAAAGACCCCGAATAGTCATGGCAATCCTGAGAAAGAAGAACAGAGCTGGAGGTATTATGCTACCTGATATCAAATTATACTACAAGGCCACAGTAATCAAAACAGCATGGTATTGGCATAAAAACAGACACATAGATCAATGGAGCAGAATAGAAAGCCCAGAAATAAATCCATGCCTATATGGTCATTTAATCTATGACAAAGGAAGTAAGAATTACATTATGGTAAAGACAGTCTATTCAATAAATGCTGCTGGGAAAACTGGACAGATATATGCAAAAAAATAAATAAATAAAACTGGGCCATCTTCTTATGCCATATACAAGAATAAACTCAAAATTGATTAAAGATTTAAATGTAAGAACCAAAACCATAAAACTAGTAGAAAATATAGGAAGTAAACTCTCAGACATTATTCTATTACATTAGTAATATTTTTACTGATATATGCCCTTGGGCAAGGGAAACAAAAGAAAAAATAAACAAATGGAACTACATCAAACAATAAAGTTTTTTCACAGCAAAGGAAACCATCAACAAAATGAAAAATCCTACTGAATGGGAGAATATTTGCCAATGATACATTTGATAAGGGGCTAATATCCAAAATTTATAAAAACTCATACAACTCAACCCCAAAAACACCAAACAATCCAATTAAAAAATGGGCAGAAGAGGCCGGCCAAGTGGCTCAGTTGGTTAAGAGCTCACTCAAGAGTGTGAGCTCTGAGCAACAGTGTCACCAGTTCGATTCCTGGCCTGAGCTGAGCTGCCGCTGTGCTGCCAATAGGTGGCAGGATGACTCAGCTTTAAAAAAAAGAAAAAGAAATACAAATTGGTAGTCACAAAATAGTCAGGGATGTGAAATATAGTATGAGGAATATCGTGAATAATGTTGTAGAAACTATGTATGGTATCAGATGGGTACTAGACTTATTGGGGGCATCACTTCTTAAATTATATAAATGCCTAACCACTGCACTGGACACGTGAAACTAATATAAAATAATATTGAATGCCAACTATAATTAGATAGATAGATAGATAGATAGATAGATAGATAGAATGAGTGAGTCATGGGATGTAAAGTACAGCATAGGGAATATAGTCAATGGCATTGTAATAGCTGTGTACAGTGTCAGGTGGGTAGTAGACTTGTTGGGGTTATCGCTTTGTGAGGGGTATAAATGCCTAATAATTATGTGCTTTTGTACACCTGAAACTAGTAACAAGAAATATATATATATAAATATATATATATATATATATATATATATATATATATATATAAACAAAACATCAAAAAAAGAAAAAGACAAGACAGGTGAGAGCTTGCTCTCTCACTCTCTGCTCTCCTTCATGTAAGGATACAAGAAGATGGCCATCTGCAAACCAGAAAGTGAGTCCTCACCAGACACCAGATCTGCCAGCACTTTGATCTTAGACTTCCAGCCTGCAGAACTGTGAGAAATAAATTGTTGTTTAAGCCACCCAGTGCATGGTAATTTGTTACAACAGCCCAAACTGACAGTGAGCTATTACATTAAAGAATCTAATAGGGTACTCAATAAATTATGATCTCTAAGGGCCTGGGCAAGGCAAAATAACTGCATATTGTGCAGTCCTCTCTTTAGGAAGTCGAGGCTCAGAAAGGCTAAGAAATTTGCCTCAAATCATACAGCCTGGAATCTGAATGATTAGTCTGTCTGGCTCTTAAGCCCACATTCCTCACCACCTTGTCCACTATACCACTCACAAGGGGCAGGTGGGTGTTCCCAAACTGGACTGCTCTCTTTACTAGGTACCATAATAAAGTTGGATTTAACACCCTTGATCTTTGGTGTTAAGACCAAAGCGGGCCGGACGAGTGGCGCGTTGGTTAAGAGCTGGCTTGGGACGCCAGAAGGCCCCGGTTCGGATCCCACATGAGGGCCAGTGACACTGCCCTCTACAGCTAAGATGCTGAACAACAGCTCAACCTGGAGCTGGGCTGCCTGTGAGTCGCCGGCGACAGCATAGGCTGCAACCCCTGCTGCAGTGGGTTGCCATGGGCTACCATGTGTAGCCAGCAGCCAGCATGAGCGGCCAGCAGCTGCCGTGAGTGGCCGTCCAGAAGCCGGCGACTGATCTGCCTCGCCCGGGAAGAGCGCAATGATGGTGCCAACTTGGGCTAGTGAAGCAACGTCCTCCACAACTAGACTGAAGAACAAAAGAACAGCAACTTGTCTGTTCCCCTTCCCCCAATTCTCCAATAAAAATCTTAAAAAAAAAAAAAAGATCCAAAGCTAGGACTCCCAACCTGAAGGAAATCAGCACTTAACCCTTGTGAAACCCATCCTGAAATGTTCAAGGCACTTAAAGATGAGAGGTAAAAGATATCTGATGGTTTAATGGTGTCCCATTGATTGCCAAGTTAATTCTGCTGAATTGGCTGGCTAGGCCAGTGTCATATTTCAGGGCCCCCTTCCCATGCGCTCTCCTTCCATGACCTTCCCAGATAAAGAACCACTCCTTAATCAATGGTGGAACATTTGCTGGGCTTCTCCTTAAAAACTTGCAGACACTACAGATGTTTCCTTATTGATTCTGACCACACCTAAAAGGTGAGGTTTATCAAAATGAATGGGAACTAATTTATCATTGCTGATTGACAATGCATTGGTCTAGGAACTTGGCATATGTACGGTCTTTCCAGTTTTGGCAACAACCGTGGAAGGTAGCTATTATTGTCCCTATTTAATAACAAAGATGACACATAGCAGACATCATTAATCTTTAAGGTAGTCAATTTAATGGGATTCTATACAAAGAGAGAAAAACTGAGGTTTGGAGAAGTTAAGTTGCCACCCCATTCATCTCTATCTGAATCCACTTCTCTCCAGATGCTCAGTTTGGAATGGCAATATAATGCACAGGATGCACTTCAGTGTCAGACAGACCCAGGTGCAAACCCCAGCCTCACTTCTTACTAGCCATCTGACCAATTATTCCTTTATTGAGAGCAATTGTTCATGGCGTTCCTGCATATCTTGCAAAGGCTTTTATTCTAGATTATTTTTCAAGGATATATGTACAGCAAACATCCTTGAAAGAGAGAAATAGAGTCTCCCACAAGTCAGAGGGAAGATGTGTTTCCTGTCCAGTATAATAAAAATAATGCCTCCTTCTGGGGAAAAGGCTGAACAGGTTTGCTAGTAGCCCCTTAGGGCTTACTAAGCTTAGGGTCATTCAGCTGTGACACACCCCATTGTATGTGCAGTCTCTACCTAAGCTCACCTCTCCATTGCTCCATGGGACTTGGGGAGTCCACAAAAACATTAATCTCATGCTGCCTGCTGTACCACAAGCAACAAACTCCTTTGTTTCTGACCCAAGAGTCTCATGTCTTCTGCCAGTATCTATGACCCTGTCTGGAAGACTAACTTGTTAGCATGGCAGTAGGATAAAATCTAAAACCCTTCACAGTCTTTAACACTCTTATCTAAATGGCAAGAGTCAGCAACTATCACTTTCTCACCTCCCGTTGCACCTCAACATCCTGTGGTTTAGCATAAGCCCCCAGTACAATACTGCAGCTGTTTTTGCTGATGTCACCAAAGACCCTTTCACCACCAGTTTCAATGGATATGTGATTCCAAGCAAAATCTTTCTGGACTTCTGCAGCCTTAACACTTGGGGCACACCCTGCTTCTGAAGTGTTCTAGTGTTGGCTTCCACAAGACCACAATTTCCTGCCTGTCCTTATTGGTCCTCTTCATGGATTCCTTGTCCCTTAGCCCCATCAATGCCCTGCCCACATCCCTATTGTTCCACCTGCCCTCCCTGGGTGATCTCACTCACATGGTTGATTTTAGGAACCTCAAATATGGTGATGATGCCCTAAACTCTAGTTCCAGTCCAGACCTCTGGCACAACTTACCCAGCCACCTGCTGAGCAGCAACACCTCACACTCAAGTGGTCCAAAAAGGAAAGCCATCCTTCCCTGGCCCTCACCACCTAATCCTCCCTCTTGAATCCAAGCTCTCAGTTTGTAGTACACCCAGCCACCTCTTTGCTCCTGGAAGTCATCCTTGACCCCTCACTGCTCCTCACACCCTAGAGCCAAGCTATCTTTGAGTTTTACTTCTTTCATTCTCTATTTCAGGAATCTGTACTCCCATGTCCCACCAGACCTACTCCTGCTGTTGTTCCCCCTCAGGTCCCAACCCTTCCTGCCTTAGGTAACTGCAGTGTCCACCTAACTGGGCTTCTTGACTCCTTTTGGCCCTCCTAAAGCCCTCACCCCATTGTTGACAGCTATATTCTTAAAATATAAACCAAATCATGTAATTTCCCTGCTTTAAGCCTCTCACTTGTTCCTCACTGCCTGACAATGTCAAGGTAATTAACAACATGGTTCACCTAGCTAATGTTATATCCCACCCTCCAACCCCCTCCCTCAAGTACTCCTCCCATCTCTCTCCTATGGCCACTATCATTCAAAATGGAAAAGAGGTGGGGAGGAGGTGTCTCAAAATAATACTCATTAAGTGGCACTAACTGGTTTTATTTGTATTATATTGAACCAGGAAGTCCTAAAATGTTGCATTAAGCACTAGTCACACATCTTCTGCCTGTCTCAAACCTATTTGAATGTTCTCAGTTTTCCTTAAAATAACATCATAGTTTGGATCAGAAGCCATATTTCAACTAATTATCCACTATCAAGTTTGTTTGCTTCTCAGGGTCCCCCTGAGAAGCAAACAAACCAAGCTATTCCTTCATTCTACCCAGTTAAGGTGCTGAAATATTCTCTCTCTCTCTCTCTCTCTGTCTGTCTGTCTGTCTCTCTCTCTCTGTCTCTCTCTCTCTCTATATATATATATATGTAATTAGTATAATTATATATGTATATACGTATATATAATTTTTAAATTTCTCTTTTTCATCCTCTAAGCAAACAAACCAACACCCTAGGCGTCCACCAGGAGGCGCCGAGGGTGTCGAAAGATGTGCGGTACCTTCACGGTTGGAGAGGCAGCGATGGATGCAGCAGTGATGGACCCGGCTTCCTTTTTTAAGAATCAGTGAGAGAGAAGGGAGCAGAGCTGCGTTATTTTAGGGAAACCTTGTCGCACTCCCCCTCCCGCGTGTAGGTAGCGCCTGGGGTGTGTGCGGGCCCCATGGAGAGACGCTGGCGGTGGCTGGGGTGGCAGCTGGGGCTCCCATCGCGGATGCAGTCGGCAGTAACCCGACCCCGCCGGCGCGGGGACTGAAGAAGCACAGGGTAAAGCCGCGAGCTGCGAACAAAAGCCCTCGGCGCGAGGCCAAGCCCGGGACGTGCGGTAAGTGAACATGCCCGGGGACCCGGAGCGGCCAGCACTGGCGAGGCCAGGCTATCCCAGGAGTCCACCTCGCTGTGATACGGTTGGGGGACTCGGGGGGCATTTGGGGGCAGGCGTCCGAGACTAAACTGGGGTGCATGGTGCCTTTAGCACATCAGACTTGGAGGGGATCCGGTGCATCTGGGAGGACCCAGGCACGTTCTCCATCCCAGGCAACCGCGGGGGGGTGGGGGTGGGGCGGAGAAAAGATGGGCACAGCGCCTAAGAAAGCCATACACAAGAGGCAGGAGCAAGATCCAGCACCCCTCCCGGAGAAGCCTTTTGGGGGTTGAGGCACTTCTCTCAGTGCTTCCATCACCCCATGCTTGGGTCTCCGTTGGCAGGGAGAAATCAGCCATAACTTCTTCCCTAGGCAAATGGGGTCCTCGTAGCAATGCCCTTTGGGGATGAACAGGCCTCTCCCCTTTTTGTTCCTGCAAAGCCGCATCCCCTGTTGCCCGCCTAAGCTACAAACAAATACGCTAATCCTCCCGGGAATCCTCCAGCGCCTCTCTGGCCGGCGAAAGCCCTGCACCTCGATCTTTTCATCGTAACTTGCAGCAGTAAGGAGATGCATCCAGCGGGCCAGACGCCCTGGGGAGCCTGACCACGGCCTCTGCCCCGCACTCCGTGGCTCAGGGAGATTGAGACTGCCCTCTGTGCACCAGTACCGGCACTGGCCTGGGTTTTCAGGCATCGGTATTATGATTTACGTTCCACCTGGGCCTCTGAGCCTAATCCCAAAGCAGATTACATTGGGAGGGGGTGGATATGAATGGGGTGCGGAGAACTGCTCTCAAATGTATCCCACGATGTCCCGCCCTTGTCATCCGCAGAGACTCCACAAAAGGACAGGGCTCAGTCATGGTGGACCCCATACCTGAAGAGGAGAAGGCAGGCGCCGAGCCCGGCGGCTCAGGAGGAGGAAACGGAGCCGCTGCGTCCGTGCCTCCTGACGCCCAGGGCGCCCAGCAGCCCGCAGACTCTTCGGCCTCGGCCTCCGCGTCGGTGCCCCGCAAGGCTGAAGTCCCGTGCGCCGCAGAAGGCGAGCGGCGGGAGCAGTCCCCGTTGCTGCACCTCGACCTCTTCAACTTCGACTGTCCGGAGGCCGAGGGCAGCCGCTACGTGCTGACCAGCCCCCGCTCGCTCGAGGCCTGCGCCCGCTGCGCGGTCAAACCAGTAGAGCTGTTGCCACGGGCCCTGGCCGACCTGGTGCGTGAGGCCCCGGGACGCTCCATGCGAGTGGCCACCGGCCTCTATGAGGCGTACGAGGCGGAGCGGCGCGCCAAGCTCCAGCAGTGCCGGGCGGAGCGCGAGCGCATCGTGCGCGAGGAGAAGCGGCGCCTCTTCACGCCGCTGGGCCCCGCGCCTGCCGCGGCCTCGGCCCCCAGCGCGGGCAGCAGCAGCAGCGGCAGCAGCGCCAGCCTCCCGGCCTCGCCCGCGCCGCGTGCGGCCCGCAAGGCCTCCTCCAGTCCGTCCCCGGCTCGGACCCAACCTCTGCCCGCGGGTTCTCGGGCGGGCAGGAAAAGCCACTCACTAGACTCCTTGTCCCGCCGGCGGGAGGGCGCCCTCAGCTCCGAGTCGGGCGCGTCGTCGTCGTCCTACAGTGGGGAGAGCCTGCGGGAGCTGCGTTGGCCGCAGCGGGTCTCAGCCAGGAACAGCTGCCCCGCGGGGTCTTTGTCCTCCGCCCCCAACCCTCTGGGCCGCCCGTCCGCCCTGGCCCTGGTGCCCCTCTCCGCCCGCAGCTTCAGCCTCGGCGACTTGAGCCACTCACCGCAGACGGCCCAGCACGTGGAGCGCATCGTGCGCCAAGTGCGCGCCGAGCGGGGCCTGCGAGGAGTCCCGGAGCGCGACCGGAAGATCGCGGCGCTGATGCTGGCGCGGCACCAGGAAGAGCGCCTGTTGCTGGAGCAGCGCGCAGCGGCCCACGGCCAGTGGGAGCAGCAGCGCGTGTGCGCCGAGCAGCGAAGAGAGCGCGAGGAACGCGAGAAGCGGCGAGCCCTGGAACAGGGCCGCCGGGCCTGGGCTGCGCAGGTGGAGGAGCGGCGCGGCCGCCGGGGCCGCGAGGAGCGGGAGGCGGCGCGGAGGCGGCAGCGACAGTGCGAGCTCAGCGAGGAGCGGCGGCGGGAGCTGGCCGACCGCCAGGGCCTCCTCCGGCGGGAGCGAGCGGAGCGCTCCGCTCGGGAAGACCGGCTGCGCAAGCTGCAGCAGGAGCAGAACCTGAAGCAGCGGGAGGAGGGCCTGCAGGAAGGGCGCGAGCGGGCCGAACAGGTCCGCAGGGAGCGCGCGCAACGGGCAGCCCACACCAAGCAGCGGCAAGAGGGCCAGCTGCAGCGGGAAAAGCGGGAGCTGAGCCGGGCCGAGCAGGCGCGTCACCAGGCGCTATTGCAAGGCCGGGCCCGGCAGGAGCACAAGGAGCGCGAGGTCCTGCGGAGTTCCCTGGAGACCAGCTTGGGCCGAGCGCAAGAGAACTACGAACAGTTGGTGGAGCAGCGCACCCGAGAGCTGCGGGAGCGGGCTCGGAGGGAGGAGCTGCAGGGCCGGCGGGCCAAGGAGACGGCCGAGCGCAAAGAGCGCGAGCATCAGTTGCACCTGGAGGCACTGGCCCGGGCAGGGGAGCGGCGGCTGCAGCATGCGGCGCAGGCAGCCGAGGAGGCTGTGCAACAGAAGGCGCGGCGCGTAGGTCAGAGCCGGTTGGAAAAGGAGCGGGCCCAGCGTGCCAACAAGGAGAAAGTGGAGAGGGATGAAGACTGTCGCCGGCGGGAGCTACTCCAATCTATCGGGCGCAAGTTGGAGCGTAGCGAGCAGCTGTCGCGGGAGCGACGTACAGCACTGGAGAGCGCTCGCTCCACAGCCCGGGCCTCCTTCCACGTGCGCGAGAAGGTGCGCCAAGAAACCAACACACGCTCCTTCGACCGCATGGTACGGGAGGCCCAGCTGCACGCCAGCCTGGACCGCAAATGACCGGCGCCCTGGGCTGGCTAGACTGCCATGCTCAGCCTCTTGGGGCCTCCCGTGGCCACTTTGACCAGACCGTGGGAGTCCCCGGTTGGGGCACAGCACGGTGACCTCTCCACCGTGACCAGTGAGGCAATGGGAGGACCGACATGCGAGACCTATCAGTCCGCTGCCTTTGTTTTAAAAAACTGACTTCATATAGAAATAACAGCACAATCTGGGACCACATCCACCCTTGGTGGCTCCCGCACCTGCCCTTGCCAAGCTGCCCTGTGTGTCTTTTGGGTTGGAAAAGAAAAGAGCCGGGCGAAAGGGGTGGGTCGGGCCTAGGGGGAGAGCCCCCTTCCAGCAGAGAATGCAGGGGTGATTGTGCCCCCTTCTGTAGCAATCACCCTAGGCACCTTTCATATATTGGTGTTTGAGAGAACTGCGTATACTGCAGCTGAGGAGGCATTTCCCTAGCTCACCTCCATCTTTTAAAATATGGCAAGTTGCACAAAGCTCTAGGTCTCACAGAAAAGCACAGGTTTTCCAAGGTGTTAGGCCACACCCAAGTGACCCAAAAATGAGTTGATTTTTGTATGCTTGACTTTGATCTGCCACTTGAGCAAATTCTGGTCTTAGCCCTGATAGTTTTTTCATTTCCCCTAGGTTTTCTAGTTAGACAATCATCTGCAAATAATGATTAGTTTGTGTCTTTTTTTCTCTCCTATTCCCCCAAGTGACACAAGAAATTAGTTGGTTTGGTAATGTGGTTTAGCTTTAGTGGAAGCCCCCAGCCTTTGAAGGAGGCAAGTTCCTTAGGCAGCAGATTAAGCATTCTTGCAGGGTAGTTTCAAGGGGAAGCGGTGTCTGATGCCCACTTCCCACGTGGATCCCACTCCTCACGGACAGCAGCCATGCCTTAAGAAGCAGAGCTACCTTATGTGCCTGCCCAGGCCAAGCCTGCCTAAATCTCCAGCCCTGGATGCAGTCCCAAGGGTGGGCCCTAGGGAGTGTGGATTCCCTCTGTGAAGGAATCATCACAGTGGCCCTGAGGACAATTGACCGTGGTGGCTGAGAGCTGGAATTGCCTCTTTGCTATTGAGAGTTGTGCTCACTATTGTTGGCAGTGTATCTTCTCTTCCTCCTCTCCCCCATGTGAGGAAAAAGATAATCTCTCCCTTAAATTCCCTCTCACCTATGACTGAAAGTATTTAATCAGTCTCTCTGTGCCTCACCTTTCCCATTGGCCAGATGGGACCGTTGGTACTCTTCTCCTGGTACCTCAAGGTCTCCCGGATCCAAAGCGCCACCTCAGTATTATGTGCTGGTCTTCTTTGTGCCTTTCTTGACCTGGAGTTGGGAGGCAGGAGGGCTGCTATTGGCCTAGTTTGTCTCTGGGAATATGGATTCCTGTTCAGTGCTCACAGACAGATGGTCATTTAGACTCTGGGGGAAAATATTTGCAAGACCAGGCCATTCCCTGGTCCAAAAAGTCCTGTTCAGTTGTCATCAGGAAACTTGAACCCCTAGAGTACTTCTCTTCCATGAAGCCAAAGTCAGCCCTCAGCTGTGTCCACCCACTGACTCTGCCTTCATCAGGGAAGGTAGGAAGTAAAACATTACTTCTTATGTTAAATCAGGATCAGGAAATAAAAGTTACCAAAAAAATCAGGGTAGAGAACTACTGTATATTATACATAGTTCATGTATATTCTGCTGGACAGAATTGTTCCTAAAATGTCTGGTGTTACACACATGCGTGTGTGCACACACATGCATACACTTTGTCAGTACCCCCTTATCACATGCCAACAGGTACAGGAGTATTGTGTAGAAGGAAGCAGTGCTTAGGTGTTATATTTCAGATGTTGTGAAACTAGGAAAGAAACTGTGCCAAAGTTTATTTCTTGAGTGGGTGAATTTTTTCCTCAAATTTTCTCGTCGGTAACCAGGTTGTCCATGAGCTGTAATAATTGGCATTGTGAGTCAGGGGCATTTAACTAAAATGCTAATATGATACTGGTTCTTACCTTGTGGTTCCTGATTTGCTAGAAACCTTAATAGAAAGTTCAACCTAAAACTACTTACTTCCAAAGTAGGTACATTCATATGAGAGAGACAATCTGGTTTTTTGTGTGTTTTTTTTATAAGGCACTGAAAGGTACATAGGGGATCTTATCTGTCCTTTATTCAGTTTGTTTTCTGACTTACTGAGTGACTTCAGGTAGATTACCTCTTTGTGCCTTGGTTTCATGGCCAAAGGGATGGTGATCTCTGCCCTCCCTCTCACACGAACACTGTGAGGAATGAGTCAGAATCAAAGTGGTGCTCTCAGTGCTATGGCTTTGGAACTGCAGGTACAGTTGCTATAAACAGAGAGGATCACGTGACTGTACTATACCTAGAGAGTATAATGTACTGTCATTGCCGAGTGCAGAAAGAAATGGTCTTGAAAAGCATATTGCAGATCACAGTGTCACATGTGATGCAAATGCCCAGGCCTGATGTCACCAAATAATGCACTTAGAGAAAAGCACTGTGAAAAGGAAATAACGTTTAGATTAAAAAACAAAAACGGTAAAGCTAAGTAGAATGAAAGCAAACACAGAAGCCAAACCTAGTAATAGTAAAGAATGGTTCTTCCAAATTTCAGACCATCCCCTAGAAAATAGACCCATCTCTTTATTCGAGGATAAGTGGTCATGTTGCCCTTTAAGGAGGAGCAATTTCCAAGATCCTTTGTTGGGCCCTTTATTTATATTATTTTCTTTGAAATGATGCCAGAGAGAAGAAGTGTTTCTTATTCTGAAGTGCAGCAAGAGAAAATTGGAGGGCAGGGGTGGTGGGGATGATGAAGAATGGCTTACTTCTGATGTGAACATTCTAATAAGTGCCCAGAATTGTCCTCAGAGCACCATGCTGGAAGTTCTTACCATCCAACAAAATTGCAGCCTTGAAGTGGCCCCAGACCTTCACATTTACCCTCCTGGCACATTCCTTGCTCAGAAAAGAGAGAACATGAAGTGTGATGAGGAGGAATGGAAAGGGTTGGAAGAAACTTTAGTTTGGTTCATTACCAAGAAGACAAGCAGGACAAGGCCATTTCACATGGAATCATTGGTGAAGCTAGCCCAGTGTCCTGCTCAGGCAATGACCAATGCTTAAACCACAGCTGGACGGGAAGATGGAAATTTACTTTCGGAAGAACATGGACTGTGAGTCTTCAATGGGAGCCGTAAGCAGGACTTGCCAAAGATGAAGAGTCTGTGGGTTGAAAGGCATATGAGAATGCAGCTTGTGTTCAGGCCATTCTGTAAATGCCCACCAGTTATTATTCTCCCTCCTTTAAAAAGGCCATTGAAACTGAGAGTGACTGACTCTACATAAGGCCCTATATCTTGTTTACCATTAATTCCCCTGAAGCCCATGGTTTAGCACCGCACATAGGGTAAGCACATAAACACTGGATGGAGTGAGGGATAGTTGATGAATGGCTGATGGATAAATGAGTGGGTGACCAGGGGAAATCTGTATAAAATAGATTGGGCAGTCCTCCATTCATTCAATAAATTTGTAATGAGCACCTGCTTTTTGCAAGGCACTGCTCTTGGTGCTGGAGAGACAGTCTCCCTGATCATTGACCCTAGGGACCATTTATGCTGCAGTGTCATGAGCAGACACCTGTATTTCCCCATTGGGCTTAACTACCTTCCCACCCTGGTTTCCATCCACAGGAAGACAGATGGCCTTTCAAGCACTAATTTCAAGCCTTTTCAGTTTCCTGGGGACATGCCATCCACTAACCAAACATCATCTAGTCACTGTTGTTCTCTTTCCCTCAGAGGAGCCTTGATTAATCAGGTCAAATTCATAAGGTCATGTACTTAATCAGCTTTAAATTACAGTAAAAAGAGAGAAATTAATTACCTTCAAGGGCATTGATCTGTGTTGCCTATAGCAGAGGCAGCATAAATAATGATCATGGACCTAGAGAACCATGTCTCAGGTTGCACAAAGTCCCAGATCATCAAAATGGGACCAGTTCCATCATTTGACTGTTGTTGTTGAGACAAAAACCTCAACATTTCAGAAGCATTTCCAGTTTTAAAGTCCCAACAAAGAGAGATTTCTGATCAATACAAAATCAATAAGAAAGTTTAGTGAACCAGAACATCCCACTGCTTTAGACTTCCTGGTGATTGAGGTAACCCACAGGTTGTGTAGACTTGCCTTTTCTCCACCATATGACTGCATCTCTACCCTGCATGACCCAAAGGAATATTTGACAGCAGAACATGAGGAAACTTGGCATTTCTTGACACAGTGTGCATGGATAGGGGCTTCCAGGAACCCAGCAGATAGCTCTCAGTTGTAGAAATGTTTAGGCCTTGTATGTTACACATTTGGTTTGGGGAGTCTGATGGAGCACCTGCAGTATTACGCATGATCACATGCTTTGGTTACATGACTCTTTATAGAAGAGCATCTTGTCTGCTCACATATGTGCTCTGTCCCACGAAGCTCTGATGCACTCTCCATATGCGCCTCCTCCCAGCCCAATGCATCTCCCACATGTCCCAGGCCTTCATACTGTCCCTGGTGCTGCTCTGGCTTCACAGAGGTTGGCACTGGGACAGAGGGTGGAGTTAATAGCAGACATTAAGATATAGAATGGGAGGGTGATTTCTTTTCTGAGGAACACTGGTAATCATTGTTGGCAATGTTGCTGCTTCCTGATTCATCAAATACTGTCATGTCTCACATAAGCACAAAAACCTAGTTCAAAGCGATTTTTAAATTAGCTTCCATTTTGAACTGTTCATGCCTTTCTTCCTCTCCCTTAGTTCAGTTTTTTTTTTAATTGGGGAATTGGGGGGGATGGGAACAGCACTGGGGAATTGGGGGAAGGGGAACAGACAAGTTGCTGTCATTTTGTTCTTCAGTCTAGTTGTGGAGGACGTTGCTTCACTGGCCCAAGTTGGCACCATCATTGTGCTCTTCCCGAGTGAGGCAGATCAGTCGCCGGCTTCTAAACGGCCGCTCACTGCGGCTGTTGGCCGCTCATGCTGGCTGCTGGCTACACACGGTAGCCCATGGCAACCCACTGCCACAGGGGCTGCAGCCTATGCCGTCGCCGGCGACTCACAGCAGCCCAGCTCCAGGTTGAGCTGTTGTTCAGTATCTTAGCTGTGAAGGGCAGTGTCACTGGCCCTCATATGTGGGATCCGAACTGGGGCCCTCTGGCGTCCCAAGCCAGTTCTTAACCATCGCGCCACTCGGCCGCCCCTTAGTTCAGTATTGATGGCATATTTTTGTGTCAGACATTTGCACAATTCACAGGACTGTCAGAAAGATTATCCATATCAACTCCCATGTTTGAGTGTGCATGCACACACACACACTCCTACCAATTCTAGCATCAGCGTTCTTGCAGAGGCATGGAAACTGTAGCCATCTTATTCTTCTGGGAAAATGGAGCTGCCCCTGGGTGGGGATCCACTGATTCCACCTACCCCCAGCTTCAAGACTGCTTCAGGCTCTAGCCTGTGAGCATGGTGTCCATAGGAGGTCTGAGAATTAAGTTCGTGAATTTGTTGCAACAATGTTGCTAACCTTTTTTGATATCAGAAGGATTATTCATTATGAATTTGTATTAACTGGACATGTGGTTAACCAAGTTTACTATTTGGAAGTGCTGAAAAGGCTGCGTGAAAAAGATGATTTGAGCTTTTTGCCAACAATTCATGGCGCTTGCATCACGACAATGCACCAGCTCACACGGCACTGTCTGTGAGGGACTTTGTAGCCAGTAAACAACTGTACTGGAACACCCTCCCTACTTACCTGATCTGGCCCCCAATGACTTCTTTCTTTACTCGAAGATAAAGGAAATATTGAAAGGAAGACTGGTGTCAGTGCATAGCTTCCCAAGGGGAGTACGTCGAAGGTGACCGTAGTGATATTCAGCAGTGAGGTATGTAGCACTTTTTCTGGGATGAGTTAACGAACTTAATTGTCTGACCTTGTAGTTCCCAAATCCATCATTGAGCCACGTGGGTGACAAAGGCTTTTCATGCGGCCACTACACTTCTCATTCCTTCTCAATATGAGAGACTGACTGGGACATGGAATTTGAATGCCAAAAAGTTGACATTCAGAACACCTCAGTGTGACTGAATGACTTGATTACCTACAAAGGTCTGAAAATCCAGTCCATGTGGTTACCATACCTTCAAGGCAAAGTGTTTGGCAAAGAAGCAAGTGTCTTGACTTATTTAAACTATTACTGTTCCACATGCCCCTCTTGTCATTTGTCAAATGGGGACAATAAATTCTAGTTGGTAGGAGTTTTTAAATGAGTAATGCTTGGTAAGCAGCACTGGCAGATAGAACTCAATTTGTGGATACGTCTATTCTGAACTGGGGAGGGCGGAAAAGGAAAGAATGGTGTAGCTTGAACTTCAGCCAGGTGGTCCTGGTGGACGCCAGGCCTGGATGGCAGCCCTTTGCGCATGTCTATATCCCTTACTTTGCGACAATCCCCCAGTCATTCCAAAAGAAGGGGCTCTGGAACGATGGGTCTCCAGGAATGTGCAGTAGTCTGCGGCTGGGGGGAAGGGGGGAGGAAACACCTTGTTTACCAAATGTTTGGCAATAAAATTGACATCTGATGATAATTTTTGAAATTGTATTTTAAGTCTTCCTAGATGATGTCTATAATGACAGAATGTTTTAAAATTTGCCTATCTGTTTTGGGGAAAAGGATGTGTTTCTGTCCCAGTGAGACCCAAATTCTTTGATAGCACCGTTAGCAGAAACAAGTAGGAGAGGTTATGGGAGAACCACTGTTCTGGGGGCTCTGGTACCGCAGGATATGGCACGGGGCAGGGATTCTGGGACGTGCAGCATCTCTGCTGTGGCCACATGGGAATGAGAAAGAGGGTCTGGGACAAGCCCAACCTGGAAGAATGCAGCCCCAGCCTCCTTTCCTGCCCGCCCTCCCCAGCCCTGCCTACAGCTGCATGGAGGTTAGCCGTAGGACTGGGTTTATAGAAGTCCATTCTCCCCTCTGGACATACATCAGTGTACAGAGGTGCTGAACAGGCCAACTGGCCCATGCTAGCTCTCACTGTGCATTGGGAAGTGAAGACAAAACGTGGGGCAAGCTGCCAGAAGCTCTCCTGCTTTGTCACCTTTCTGGTGTCCTTGGATACCCTACAGGGAGGCCCCAGTGGACCTTAGAGGCCTCCTGAGCCCTCAGCAAAAGAGTAGAGTAGGCAGACTGTGCCTTCCAGGAACATCTGCTTATTTGAAGAGAACTCGCAGGGTGAGCAAAACACATAGCCAAAGGGAACAACTTGCTAATGCTGAGATTCCAAGGGCAATGATAACTAATGCGTACAAAGCACTTACACTGCGCAGGTGACTATCAAGCACTGAATCCTCACAAGACCTCTATGAGATAGGTACATTATTATTCCCATTTTACAGACAAGAACATTGAGGCACCAAGTTTAAATGACATGCCCCAAGTCACACAGCTACTGTTGGGCAGAGCTGGGCTTGGAGTCACATTAGGCTGGCTGTACAGCAAATGCTTATAACTAGTATGTTTGGTCCAGTCAAAAGCTCTGGCCTTATGTTTCATAGTCTGCCTCCATTGCCATCGGTAGGTTGAGAATTCAGCCTTGGCTCCCACTTCTGCAGCCACTGAAAGAAGTGAAAGCAGATGACAGCGGGGGAGGGAATTGAACTTCCCTGGGAAGGGAAAGGGTTGATTTATGAAGGGTTATAAAAATAAGTAAAAGCATCATTATGTTCAAAAAAAAGGAGAAAATGCAGTGAGCGCATAAAAATAAAGGAAGAGAATAAAAGGAAAGAGAGGCTGGGGAATACTAGGATGAAGCCATAGACAGGAAATTTCAGGCAGGATATGTATCTTGTACTCACGTATGAGCATGACTAAGTAAGTCAGTGCCTCACAGAGGAAAGACAGTCCCCTCATTGCTGCCATCTAAGGCAGCTGAAGCAAGGTCCAGGGAGGAGCAAGGAGAGGGCAGGCGCCTTAGAAACTGATAGTTACTATTTAGGTCCCGACTCAAAAGGTGTTCACAGCCTATAGGTATCAAAGAGTAGGCAAGCCAACTCTAAGCGGCTTTTCAAAAGTCACCAAAACTTGTAGCAAAAAAAATGTACAAGTAGCAAAAACATACAGCTTCTTGTGCTTGTGGTTAAGGCAGTTAACACATCCTTGGAATCCATTACAAGGTCCTTTTGGGATATCTCTTCTCTCTCTGGGCACCAGAATGGATTTAGTTTCTACCTCAAGTAGCAGAAAAAGTATACAAAGCTCAAGAAAAGGCAGTCTGTTTTGTAACTTTGAGGGCTATTGGTAGCAGGCACATCATTTAGAAGATCAAGATTTGAAATGCACACAGAGTGATTTAGAATGATTTAGATTATGTTTATCAGGCAAAAGAAAATCTGCTACTGATTTTCTTTAATGTTCTTACCATCGAATCCTGAAGTAAGATGCCAGATTGCCCTGAAGTTTCCAATTAGGCTGAATGATATGAAATTGTTGATATTCAACTGTTTTTTGACCTACAAAGCAGCAGACAATGGGGTGACTGGTGCCCTAAATGGGCTGTCCGAAGCTCTTGCAGGAACTGGGGGTGGGGGTAGGCGGGAGATGCCCAGATGGCTGGGGCATTCAGGTCTCATATGGAAGGAGATGTCCCTTAAGGAGCTGGCACAAACAGGTCAAGGGCAGCCTGATCGTATGCACAGGCAAAGGGTAGCTTTTCTGCCTGCATGAAGCATAAATATACATCAGTGCATCTAAATGGGAGCTCCCTTGGTCTCCCCCCACAGACTGGGCTGCACGGCTGTTCATTTCCCTAGAATCTGCAAACTTTTCTGCAGAGGCTGTGGCCTTCTGTCTGAGGCACGCTCCCAGGAGTCCCAGGAAGCAAGCTGATCAGCATACTGCTGTCTGCCTGTCCAGAATACCGATCAGCAAACAGCAGTGCAGGCTCCCGTCTCTCTGTTGCAGCCCACTACCCTGGCACCAGCTCCGCCCTCCAAGAGCCCTTTCTCTTCCTCTATTGTGGCTTTTCTAGAAGCCCACTAGGTTCCAGGAGGTAGAAATATGCCCACAATCCAACAATATGTTTCTAAAACCTTCTCCATGACAACGCAGGGCCATGAGCAAGCTGCCAGCTCATAGCCAGCCAGAGAATGGCCCTGGGGGCAGACAGCATAGAGACAGCACAGGGCAGCTGGGGATGCCAAAATTCTGCCTTAGCTGTAAGGCAGTCCTGGGGTTAACACACTCCAAATTCTGGGGAAGCAGTATGGAAGCAGTGAGTACCTGTCTACAGGTGCCCAACAGTGATCATTCATAATCCTTGACTTTGGCACAAAAACCAAATAGTCTAGGGCACCTTTCTTCTTGAAAGATTTTTTGCATCTAAACAAGAGGAGAGAAATGAAAGTCCAGCAAAGGACTGGTTTTTTTAATGGGCTGCTGGTGCTTTGTGATGGACAATTTCTTTATAAATTTCAAGTGTTGTCCAGATGGTGTATCGCACAGATGTCGCCTCCCCCCCACGGCCCATATCCCTCCCAAATCCAGCTGATCTCACTGTGGCCAAGGCCTACAAACCAGGAGCTCTACTTTCCCTCCCTAATATTTAATGACAACATTAACCTTGGGGCAGAATGTTGGGCATAGCTGAGATGGCTGCTTGAGACCCAGCATCCACAGACAAATTTCCTAGGCGACAGCTTTTTGTTGGGAGTGTGTGTGTGTGTGTGTGTGTGTGTGTGTGTGTGTGTGTGTCGGGGGAGTGGGAGTGGG